TTCCAGCTGTGGTACGGCGCCTGCCACCCAGTGCAGGCTGCAATTGGGCTGTCAGATCATTCGCTGAACTGAATAATTCGCATATTTCCGCACTCTCTAAGTGTAAATATTGAGCAGTTGATCCCATATACATATATATGTATATATATGCATATATATATATGTATAGATATATTCCATTATTTATAGAATATAAATTTTTATTCAAGGCAGCAGCAGCCGCACAAAATACAAAGTCAAAGCGAAACGAAAGAAACAATAAAGCAAACGCCGATTACAACAGCGACACCTTCTGTGCATTTGCCTCAATATCAAAATCGACAACAAAAACTGCGCAATTATTGTCAATCGGTCAGAGCGAGATACGGCAAAGCGGGCAGGAATAGGGCGTAATGTAAAAGCGCAAAGAGTGAGGGAGAGAGTCAAAGAGCGGTAGATGGGAAGAGTTCTGTTTGCTATTGCTAAATTCTACTCGTTATGCGATTCACATTTTCCAAATGGTAATCAGGCGTTCGGGGTACATACAAATATATATGTACGTCTGAGCATTGGCAGGTAACTGAATTATCAGCTAGACTGGATTCTGACAATAAGAGCCTGACAAATGCGGAAAAGCTTTAACAAATTGAGACGCCAAAAGTGTTTATTTGTGTAAAAATAGCTGGGAATGGGGCACACAAATAGATTTACATATATATACAGACATATATATATATATATATATATATATATATATAGACATATACATATATATATGTTTGCATTCTGAGTATATGTACATATTTGTAGTTATATATACATAGATTTATGTATATTTGCCTATTTGAGTGAGCTTTCATATAACCACACATACAAATATACAAATATATATGGAATAGAGACGAGCGCGTGACGCTATTTATCCATTCACTACACGATCACAAGCAAAACTGTTCCATTCAACTTTTCTAATTGAAAACAACGCATTTGTGTCCCGCAGCAAGGCACGATATTATACCATCGCTAATAGAGACATATGTACATAAGTATTTAATTGCCATTACGCGGCGTGTTTTCGTTGATTTTTTTCTTTGCTCTTTCATTTTTTGTTTCCTTTTACTTTGTTGTTTGTTGTTTTGCTTTTTGGTAGCGAAAGAAAACCCCAAAAAAGGGCCCACACAGCTGACAACATTTGGTGAAAGTCTGCCCCGGCAGCCGGCCAAACCACCGCGCCCGTTCCTCCGCCCGACGCTTCACCGTTCAGCCCCGACGACCTTTACAGCCATACGGCTGGGACGTGTTTATGTTGTTTCATAACCATCGACAAATTTACATATCTACAATTTGACCACAAGACGTGCAGCTGATTATGGCGTGTATACGTAAATATCTACGGTAGTGTGAAATGCGGTGTATCTATGTATGTATACTGTATACATGTGTATGTATAATTCCCCTACATTTAACTATTTGTCAGCTGGTGGGCAGTTGCCGTTACAGTTGCTCATGTCTGCGAGACTGATACGACTAAGAAAGTAGCTCAACGCGGTCAAAGAGAGCAAGGCGAGGTTCGGTTGGGAAGAAAATGGAGAGGGGGCAAACGAAGTTAAGCTGGAAAAGAGGTGAGTGTCTGAAAGCCAGTGTTGCCACCTTTTGAGGAACAAAACTTAGTTCTTAAAGGAAATATGCTAAGCTTCATTGAAAAGGAAAACGGAAGGACAAAAATAGCTAAAACAATTTAGCTTTTTGTTACAGAGAATTCTTCTTAGGGCTTTGTATATTATAAAAAAGAGCAAACGAAAAAAACCAACTAAATCTCATTAAAAAGTAAATGAAAAGAGGAAAAATAGCTATTGAGATCTGGCTTCTTTTATTTTTTTATAATCCTCGACATTCATCGCCCTGTGCCGCATATTTAAAATAAAGTGTGAATAGCAAATTATATCAATCTAAGACGTAGTGATAAAATATGCGGATATTTTTTAAAAATGGCTATTTTTAGATGGAATTACCGTATCACGCAATTTGTATAAAGTTGGCTTAAAAAGCAGCTAGTATAGACGTAAAATAAAAGCGGAACTGCCAACATTGGCCGCATTGGTTGTGTGCGCATATGCTTCGTGCCTTATCTAATCAACAAGTTGCTTTGCCAGCCAAATGCTGCCCACCAGATGGCTGCGACTGCTGCTCGATTGAGGTGCAACAATTTGTCTGCAATTGCCAGTGCCACAGCAGCACCAGTAGTAGCAGCAGCAACCGCAGCAACTGGCCCAAAAATACTTTAAAAAGCCGTTTGACAGGTTTTTCGCCATTGCAGCCATGTCAAGCGGGCCGGCCGGTATGCAGCACCAAGCTGAAAGCCAAAGCTAAAATGCGACTGAATGGCAGCCGTTCCTGCCACAGAATGAGGCAAAACAGGCGAGCAGAGGAGAGGTGGGCGGTAGCGAGCTGAACTGTTGCCAGACGAGACAGGAAACATTGTAGCATTGAACATGCACAACAATTTCGTCTTGGACTTTGAGTTCCTTTTGTTTGCTACAGACACGGGAGGATGGGGTAAGAAATGTTGGAAGGGTTACAGTGCAGTTAAGTGGAGTTCGTTGTGACGCTGCTGTCCGTCTGTCTGGCCGTCCGCCTGTTTGTCATGCCAAAAGGGCCAGCCATGAGGCATTTATGCGGCTTTCCATTTACATAGTCGTAATACTTATTTATTTCGCCTGCAACTGGAAGCACGAGGAGGAGATGTGGTGTGGGCACTCGAGTGAGTCATGCAAAACGCTGCCGGGGAGCATTGGCCAATGCAGCGCCAGCTTTAGCTTTTTAAAAGCTGCATTCAATATAATTTACATATGCTGCGACGACTTGTCATGAATTCCAAAGAAACAACAAAAATGCTGAAGGAAAGTGCCACAGACTTTGGTCGCATACAAAACAAGAATGAACAGTTAGTTGGGCAGAGTACCGAAGACTGAATACCCTAACTGGCATAAATATATTTTAAATGTATTTGATTTTAATAATAACATGGTAAATATTTAAGATTTATTAGTACTAAGACAAAATATATGCCACTTAATAAAAATATCTGTAATTGGCAACAAAGCTGATATACACCTATTAGTATTTAAAAAGTACTAATGTAAAGTGCTGCTTACTTTGGTCGCAAAAAGGTTGTAAATGTTATCGTTGATCGATAGGCAAATGAGAGCGAGCAGAACGCAGCAAGCGCCCGCATGCAACCCAATTGAGGTGAAAAATGTCCACAATAGCAACACGAACAACAACAAACGTAACTAGTTTCGCAGCGAAGAAACTGGGGCGCAATCTGCGTATGGAATGTGCATCAGCTGGGCCCATTTGCTCGGTGCGGAAGCAGGCAGATTGAAAGTAATCAAATAATGAAAACGATACTCCCAAAGAGAACGGGGCAGCTGGGAGGTGCAGCGGTGGGAAGGAGACTACCACATGCGGTGGTCGTGAGAGCGGAAGTGCGTAAATCAAGTGGAAAAACAAGCACACGAAAAGTGGGCAGCAACTCCCCAATCAGTAAGTAAATAGAAAAGCAGCCAACCAGGCAGCTAAATGTGCCAGGAGATGACCTCAATTGGCATTTAATCGCACAAAGTGCTCGAGCATAGTGCAGCAAAGCGCATAAATCGCAGCCAATTATTTGGCGTTTAGAGCCAAGGACAACAAAAGAGCGAAAAACTAAATAAAACAATTTGTTAAGGGTTACCGACTACTAAGTACCCTTGCATATGCACAATCATTTTCGTGTATATTAAATAGGTAAGCCCCGTATAACAAAACGAGCTTCGAGATCTTGATATTTTTACATTAAATTTCGAATTATTTTACGATGCTGAAATTGCATTAACTATCGATATCGTATCCTAGCTCGATATTTACTTCCAATTATTGTCTGAACTAGTTCAATTTGCGAATAATCCATCCATATAATATACCATATAAACTCGTTCGAACTATTTTCTAAAGGGTGAACACGTCGCATGCAGCCAGACATCTTCCTCTTATTCGTGCCTGTCCAAATTAGAAACGCCAATGCCAAAATAATTTCATTTGTTTTCAGACCAAGTGGCTCTGCCAGCAGAGTTCGACGTCAATTGAAAGTTTGTTTGCGATTTGCATTTCCAAATTGGTGGCCTGACTCAAAATGGTGAAACGAAATTGCTTTCGCTTTCGCCAAGCGCCACACGCCCCCGTTCACCCACTTTTCCCCCTCTATCTTACTCTGCTATGCTGCGGGCAGGTCTAATCGGTGCGGTGTTGTTGATGCGGGTAGGTCAATGGATTCGAACCAAATTATCGGTCAATCACTTGAAACCACCAAACAGATTGCAGCTTATCTGCGGTAATATGAGCATTTTCCAGTAAGGTGCAAAGAGGTAGGTAATAGATGGATACGAAGACACTGTTTATGACACGTAAGGAACAAGATGTAACAAATTAACCAGAAACGAAGATCGAGTAACAAGAACGCATAAAAAGTAACGTATATTAGATTGGCAACTAGATAAGAAACATCGGAATTTCGAGTGAATTCAATTGCTTTAGAGTAGATTGTGGACTAATGAAGTGACTAAAAATAATTAATAATAACGAGTAACGAATACCAATATGATATTACTTATATATTAACTTTCAGCTATTAGAGCTTGAAATGTTTACTTAACAAGGAGCTGGTACTCGTGCCACTTTACTACTTATACTTTGACTAGTGAAGTGTATGAAAACAATTAATAGTAACGAGTAACGAATACTATTATTACATTACTTTAATATTAACTTTCAGCCATTAGAGCTTGAAATGTTTACTTAACAAGGAGCTGGTACTCGTGTCATTTTACTTAATCAACACTAATTTCAGCAATTTCACAAGTAACGAACAATGAGCAAAAAGTAACGATTAGGAAATTGCAAGTAACGAGTTCAACTGCAGAGTTATGTATGTAGGAAAATTCGTTTATGTAAAAAGAGAACAGGTAGTTTTTATTACTTACAGTACACCCGAACAGCGTGTGCAGACAAACGAGCCGATGGTCATGTTCACGTAGGTGGGCCCCTTTTGGTTGCAATCGAAACACTGGCGATTGCCTGCCCCGCTGTTAACCAGCTCCCGCAGCGCTAGCAGGTATTTGTCGTCCTGTTTTTTGCGTACTGCCATGTTGTAGCTGCTATTGCTGTTGCTATTGCTATTGATATTGTTGTTGCTGTTTTTGTTGTTTTCGTCGCTGTTTGCTTTGCTTCCTGTTTCCGTCTCCAGCCACTCTGTGTCCGAATCGTTAGCGTTGCTCCCGCTATACCTCGTATTGGGCTTATAAATATCGGCCGCGTGTGGGGCACTGCTGTTATAAACGTAAACGAACTGAATTTTGCCTGATTTACAGCTAACACGATCGAGTCCCAAACAACAGTTACACACGCGCGTGCATGTGTGTATGTGTGCGTATATGTTTGTGCAACCGCTTTACGCAACGCTTGACCTTTCTTCAGCTGCAAATCACAAAGGAAAACAACAAACGCCGCCGCCGCCACCTCCGTCGCTCACAATTACCAAAATATAAATGTATATAATATTATCTTTATATGTGTGTGTGTCAGTATTGGTGTGTGTCGGTGTGTTTCTGTGCGTAATAATTTATCAGACAGCTAGCAAAAATATTTTCTCGTTTACTTATTATTGTTTACGTTTAACTTTTACAATGCACTCTTTGCTCTCTATCTTTCTCTTTCTCACACACACACTGATGACAAAAACTCAACAAACACTGGTTTTCATTTTTTCTCCTTTTTACATTAATTGAATTTATTTACACACTTTTTGCAGCGCACTCTGCTGCGCTCAATTACCCACATATAAAATGAATCACACGCGCTGCGCCTTCGACTTCGTTATTGCTGCTGTTGGTGTTGTTATTAACAGAATTAAGCGCACAAACAATTTTTAATAACAAACTACAAGGGACGCCCGTCCGACGATCTACACGACACAACCAAACGTCGCAAACTTGAAAAATGAACTGACTATGCCAGTGTGACCGTAGTTGGGATAGGCTGCAAATGTCAAATGCTGTTAGGCTGACCAGCCGTTGTAAATACCAAAAAGTAAGTTGGCAGCGCCACAAGCCAAATTTATATTCACAATAAATTTAAAATTTGTAATTATGAATTGTTTCACATATTTTTCATGGGTGGGTTGTTGTTTAAAAGAATTTATTTAAATATATGTTACAGGTACTGTATTTACTCATCTAAAGGTTTGCGCGCATTACCATTATTTGCAAATTTTCGTTTTTTGAATGTGGCGGGCGCACTGCTTGATGTCTCCTCATCCAATCCTGATATGGTTTTCTCCTTGAAACGTTTTACAGGTGGCTCGGGTTCTGTCGCAGCGGCAGGGACAGGCTCTACCGCATAGTAATCCGTTTTGGGCAGCTGCCAATCGATGGGCTCTGCAGGCGGTCTGCAAATAATTGTAAAAAGTTAAAACAAAGTTTATGGCAAATTTAGCTAGATATACCTAGTTTCCACCACCTGCCACTGACCAATCTCCTTGGTTGCAGCCTCCTCCTCAGTTTTGAACTGCTGCCTCTTTTCCTCCTTTTGTTTCTTCTCTTTGGGATTCTCTGGTTTGCGATATAATTTTGCATGTCGCTCGCGGTTGAAGCGAGCCACCTCCTCATCTGCATTGGCACGAAACCGTAGCGATTCCTCTGCTTGCGTCACCTGCTGTTGATCAATGGCTAACTGATTGATACGCTCATATTCCTCATAGGAGAGAAACCCCTCTTTTGGTGGCTCCCAGACGGATTCATTTGTCTTCACATTCCAATAGTACGTGTGACCCTCGTCCGATTTACCCTCCACCCACAATGATGCATCTGGCACCGTTTCAGCTGCTATTTTATCCACATTAACCCGCCGGTCATCTTCATCTTCATCCGAATCGCCCTCCAATCGCATTGGATCGATTTGTCGTGGTTTTCCATATGGACCCGCTTTATTACCACTGCTGGAGGCTGTTGCACTGAGCACAGTATTGATGGATCGTGCGGTCATGTCACCATGGTATCCGTGGATATCTTGTGCATAGGATTTCATGGCGGCTTCCTCCATTTTGCGAATCTGTGCGTCCATTTTTTGTTTCTCCCTCTCCGACTTTTCGCTATTGCGGCTGATCTCCGTAATGCGCTTGGATACATTAAGCTTGTGTCGCTTGCCACTTTCATGAAATGCAATACTCTGGAATAGTTTATTTAATTGTAATACGTAAAGGTTTTTAATTGTGTTAAAATATTTACTCACAGCTTTGTTGTCGCTTAGCCAGCATTTACAGAAATCGCAGTACTTGCGTTCGTTCGATTTCCAGTATTCCGTCCTGCAAGTACCACAATTATTTTTTGTATTTTAGACAATTAGTTATAAATAAGATTCATAAATTTACTTACATGTTTGCTAATTATTATTTATTTACTTTGACTTCTATATTTGTTTTGCTTGCACGCAGTAGTGCTGTAAAGCGTACGATTGCTCTGAACAGTGCTGGCAGAATGTAGATAGGTGTCAGTAACTGCTACTGCAATAAAATAACTTAATAACGGGCAACACGAGAAAAAATTTTGCAAATTTTGATTAAAAAAATGTCAATAATTATTTTTAGCTAGAAATATACTGATATTAGAATAATGTGTAAATGTATTAAGATACGTTATATATTTAAAGACTTTTTGTATTATTGATTATTATTTTTTTAATATTTCAAAGTTTGTTATTCCGTTAAAACACAATAGTTAGCAAATAACCTTTCTAAATATAAATATTCTCACATACTTGTCAGATAATTACTTATAATGGTTATGTTAGTTGCCAGATATTTACTCATTGTGGCTTGTGTTATACCGTGAGCAAGGTAACAGCTGTTAAATTTAAATATATGCGGCTTTCTAGCCAAATGAATACATAACCAATTTACAATACAATAACCTTAATGTGATTTCTTAGGTTTTGTTTTATTTCTAATTATTAAAAAAACAAAATAAAAGAAAAATGATTTTCATTATATATTGTCTAACTGCTCACTGTTAATAACATTTCGCCAATATGTTATCTTAACACTTCTGTTATTGCTTAGAAAAAAACGCACAGACTGAGTCTGAGACAGTAGCGAAACTTCATTGTTTACGATTGCTCGTTGCCGCTCTGAAGCGTACCTTCCAAGCATGGCACAGGCGCGAGTCGCAACAACAACCTCTTTGAACGACGCAATGACGGCCAAGACAAGTGAGAGAATTGGGCAATTGCGACCCGTGGTCCAAAGTTTGGTTCCACCAGACAGACAGCGATTTCACCAGAGTTTATAAAACTGCTGCGATTAGCTAACTAGCGAATCCATCAACAAAAAACCTGTTGTATTAAAAGATGTTAGCTCATGCGAAACTTTCATTTGGCATTTTCAGATGGTTCAATGACAACGTTGGGCGAAAACAGCTGGGACGAATTCTCCATTGAAGTGCCCTGGGGCACTGTCACAGGTAAGTTGATGTGCAAAAGCTTCAGCGCTGAAATGTTCAATATGGCTATGCTGAGTCACCCCCAATCAGCTTATCTCAGCACACAATTCATAGACACATGCTTCCTATGGCTGCGATTGCGGATTATTTGAATAGCGCGAACAACAACAATAGCGCGTGCTCAAGTATACTAAATAAGTTATTACCCTGTAGTCAGCTGTTCCTCTGAGCATGTTACAATGATATAACTATAATAGATTTGGCAAATATATGAGACTCTGTGATGTGATCATCTCTAATCAGCATCGAAAGTCAGAAAGTTGGGCTACCCCATGTGTCATGAGATTTCTAGAATGTAAATTTAAGCTTGCAATGCATTGTTTGACTAGCTTTTATAGTGCAGATTAAACGAACTGCAGTCTAGACTCTTCTAACATATGCAGGGTATCATTACAATATAATGTCTAATGACGCCTTTTATTGCAGGAAAATGGTGGGGTTCGCGGAATAGACAACCGATTCTGGCTTTGCACGGCTGGCAGGACAATTGTGGCTCATTTGATAGATTATGCCCACTGTTGCCGGCAGACTGTTCAGTACTAGCCATTGATTTGCCTGGGCATGGACACTCGTCACACTATCCGCAGGGCATGCAGTACTTCATCTTCTGGGATGGCATATGCTTGATACGTCGCATAGTGCGAAAGTACAATTGGAAGGATGTCACTCTGTTGGGTCACTCACTGGGCGGCGCACTCACTTTTATGTATGCAGCCAGCTTTCCCAATGAAGTCTCCAAGCTGATCAACATAGATATTGCTGGACCAACGGTGAGGGGCGTTAGCCGCATGGCAGAGGGCACTGGCAGGGCGTTGGACAAGTTCCTGGACTATGAAACGCTGCCGGAGAGTAAACAACCCTGCTACTCATATGAGGAGATGATAAAGCTAGTTTTGGATGCCTACGACGGTTCCGTGGATGATGAATCTGTGAGGGTTTTGATGCGGAGGGGTATGAAGCCCAATCACAGCGGCTTTCTCTTCTCACGTGATCTGCGTCTCAAAGTCAGCCTGCTGGGCCTATTTACAGCAGAGCAAACGCTGGCCTATGCACGTCAAATACGTTGCAAAGTGCTCAATATTCGAGGTGTGCCGGGCATGAAGTTCGAAATGCCCGATTTTTATGCCGAGGTAATTTCCACACTTAAGCAAAATGCTGAGCATGTGGTTTACGTGGAAGTTCCAGGCACACATCATCTGCACCTGGTGACGCCGGATCGAGTGGCGCCACACATAAACCAATTTCTGTTAAATAAGTAATAGAATATACATAAATGTAAATACCCGTTATGTTCAGTTGCACAGATTAACATGTGGCGCAACAAGGAAGGTTTATTTGAGAATGTTACGCCTTTTGTTAACCGTACAGTAAACATTCGGGCCTTAATTAAGTAGGAGGCTTGATACTGTAGTTAAAAAATATATTTTTTATGATTTCACCAGTATTACAAAATTTAAACGTTTCTTTTGGTTGAATTGTAAATATTATATATTTTTTGACAGTTGGGCAACACTGGTCAAGTAACGTTGCCTAGCAACCTTTTGTTTTCAGCGTCATTTCAACTTTTTAAGTGCTCGGATACACGCATAGGATTATAATGGATTTAATAAAGGAAATAAATGAAAAATATCAAGCCCTGGAGGCAGAAATTGATAAGCAACTAGAAAAGGTGTAAGTGAAGTTGAATCTGCAATGCAAAAACAACAAAAATTGCCGGGTGTCCAGTGTGCCTCTATTACAAAATATAATTATTAAAAGTGTAGCATACTCTGCGGCCATTTTTATAATCATATATTTTTCTTTCATATATTTTTGTAAATATTTATTTTCCACTTAATTATTTTCAATTTATTTTATACGCTTTTATTTCTGTTTGTGCGCCTCTGTTGTCCAACATAAACAATTTACATTACCGACAGATGTCGCTTTTGCTTTAACGGTTTTTTAAAATTAATAATATCGTATCTTACAGGCAAGCTGAGGAACAAAAATTGGAGCGTCAGAATGAGAAATTTGCAGAGAAAGCAACAGCTACACAGGCACCAAAAATATTATCCTACGAAGAAGCGTTACAGCGAAATGCAAATACCCTAAAGGTGGTTAGACTTTTAATACATTAAATCTATATATGTAAACTTATATTAAATTTTTGTATTGCTTACAGTCATTAGAAATAGCAAAGGCTCGTTTACGCTCACGTTCTACGTATTCGCCAGTCGAAAAGCTGTTGCAGCGTGCTTTAAGTAATTATAAAAATGAGCTGGAGAGCCTCAATAAACAAGAGACCAGCACAAAAGCAGGGAAACAGGCGCTGGCAGGTCAAAAAAAGGCGGACGAGGATGACGCTGAGGAGGAAGCAAATACGAGCTGATCATGCATAATGTGCTGGGGGCCAGCAATAAAAACAACTCAGCAACTGGCGAAAGTCGTCACAAATGACAATTTCATGGAATTCTACAAGTCAAGGCAAGACGTGTCGCTCGAGCAACGGAAAAAAGTTCAATTCACAAGCTGAATAAATAGACACCAAATGTACACACATGACAAAATGAGAGTTGTATGCTTTTTCCCCACTGTCAACAAGAACCCAAAACGAATAAACACCCAACGCAGCCAAGCCAGGTGTATCCAATGGGAAAGCACCACACAAGATCTAACCAAAACTTGGCAGTCCTGTCAGAACTAACTAAAATGTATCCCAATTTACTAATTGTTGTGGAACATGTTTGTCGGTATCTCAAAGCAAGATGCTAACAAGATGCCAACAACAAGAACAACTCAAGAGAAGAGCAAACACATTACCAAATTGTATTCTAAATTGGTTGGCAATTATGTAGTGTTGCAACTGCTGCATGACCCAATGCAATCGATCACAGATCGATCAAGATCGATTTCCAGTGTCAAGGGACAGAGAGACAGACAGACGGACGGATCGACCGATAGATAGACAGTTGGGCAGACAACGAAGGGACAGTCTATGGCAATCAATGTTAGTATAAATCAATTAATGACACCACGGCTCTTGCAAACATCAAAGAAAATTATGAGGTTTTTCTCGACATACAAAAAAAGAAAAAAACATGACATGTTCGTTGATAAAGCCACTGAAAAGAAGAGAACACTCGTATCTAATATATACCAATGCAAACGTGTCTTCAATACTTGCTGCCTCGTTGCCGTCATATGTGTGTCGAGCAAATAGCAAACAACAATTTGAGCTGAAGTCATTTGTGTTATGAAGCAGCACACATACACACACACACCCGCACAGTTACTCGGGTATACCTGCGTCTGCTGATAAGACGAGCTCTCCCGGCTCGAAATCTATTGAGACAAATTGTCATGCATACATGCGACATACAAAACAGTTCAAACATGTCGTTAACGACATATCCATTTCATTTTCCTACGTCAAGAGCAGACAAGAGCATCTAGGCCCTATGGAAAATGCGTCAATTGGTTTTTGAGCACCTTAATTTGATTGGGTCCAAGTGACATTGTCATAAGCTTCACGCTGAAGTCTGTACAAGTTTGCTATGCTTGTACGTCGGACACGTCAGACATGTCTGCTATGTTGTCAGCGAGTGGCTTTCAGGACTTATCGCTAAAGAGTGGAACTTTTTTATTGTTAGAAATATTTGCTATGCAATTTTTACCCTAAGGCCTTAAGAGCTATCTATACGGGGCTGGTTGTACACATTTACACTTTAAAGGTAGTGAGGATCATAGAAATTTCAAATATGGAAATAAAAAATTTGATTTTTTAACTTAAGATGAAAAAAGATAAAATAAATATAAATATAAAATATAAAATAAAGATAAATATAGAATATAGGGAAAATATTAAGTCTAATTTTTATTAAGTTCTGAGTTCATCGTCATGTGCCCAAAAAATTGTATTTTAGAATTTTTAGCGAGAGCATATATTTATTTAGCATATCTATGAAAATTATATTCTCAGCTACATGACAGCTTCGCTGACATGTCAGGGAGCATATCACGCTGGCATGGCAACGATAATGAACAATTGATGATCGAGGACTGCATTTCCAGCTGGGTATCGTTAACTTAATAGCCAATACTCACAACACACACGCACACGCAGGTAGCGCCCGCACACCTGTAGGCTCTGTCGTATTGCTATCTACAAAAAAATATAAAATAAAAAATTACCCACTTTTGCCCCACATTTATGCGTTCAATATTTCATATTTATTTGCTTTCTGACTTGGCTACACGCACACACAGAGAACTCCACCTCCTTCCATCTACACAGGTATACATGTGTGTGTTTGTGTTTGTATGTGTGCTCCAGCTCTTGCAATTCATATCAGCCAGGGAGCCCTCGCTCGGTGTGCGCGATCGACAACTTCGTGGCCCGCCAAGCAGCGTTGACGTTTTAAATTTCATCGACAAATCCAACGTTTCAGTTACGTTTCGATACGCGACAAGTGCATAGTGCCACGCGCTTCCCAGGTGCGATCGTTGGAGGAGTTACGATCAGGTTCAATTTGTGGACATTTGGGTTATCAGACTGTGCGGTGTGTTCATTTCAATGCTATCTGGAGGGCTGCGAATTACTTGGGCCAAGGGAATGCAAACTGTTCGAAAAGCATTGCAAAAAGTTTGTTCGTTTGGCTTAAGTTATTTTCACGCCCAATAAAACGCCACGTGGTGGGCCACCTCCAGCCACCTGGCCAGGTGTCTCTGTGTCTGTGTCTGTGTGTGTGTGCGTGTGTTTTTAAAAGAACGTAACTAACAAATTTAAATAGTTAAGACCAAATCGCTTTTGGCTTTTTGTCAACGTCATCAACTGCCAAATCAAAAATCGATCGAGGATCGAGGCTGGGTAACAGACCGAAGAATCGTTGCCAGAGATAAGCGACCCGTTACCTCCACAATCAATCACATACAAGTTGCACACAAGCCTAGGCTCTCTCACTCTCTCTCTTCCATTGATAATGACACCGATACGCGATATATGCAAGCCAGTCAGCTCCTAATCTGAACATTAAACTGATTGTGCTGCCGTGTATAATCAGAAAGACGGAAAGAGAGTAGGAGAACACTTATTACTCTCTTTCGATACCCTAGCAATAACTGATATATATATACACATTCATATATATATATATACATTGACGATCGAGTTGCGCTACTGTTTTAATGAACACTTTTATGGACGGCCATAGCATAGGCCATAAAGCTATTACCAGTATTGCTTTGCACAATATACGCCCCTAGCCATAGCCCTAACCCCTAACAGCGCCCGTTCAATCGGGCGAGTGTAAAATCTGATTTTTTTGTAGACGTGTCGCTGGCTGCTTTAAAGTCATTCGACATGCCTGAGGTACGGTTGTAAGATTTATTTGGGTTGTATTGACGATAACGAGGCAGGGAATCTCGGGGCCCCTAAGCTAGTGCATGTTCGACGACGTGGCTTGCCGCATACATATATGTATATGTATATTGGAGTGAAATGGAAACTGATAATTGTGCAACGTACACAGAACCTTGCTCGAGTTATCAGCTCGAGTGACAACCGGAAATTAAAGTTGAAATCGACACGATTACTTCATTAGCTGTATTCTGCTAGTAGAGCCAGCCCTTTTTTTTTTGGAGGTTAGGCTCAGGCCAAACGGTTTGCCAAGGTCAGCCAGGGGGAGGGTTCAATGAACTATAAACAACTTGATGGTTGAATTTATGATTACTATTTGCTTATTAATAGCTAAACAGAGCCATAATTAAATAATTATTTTGGTAGAGCCTTGTTGAAACGCATTTACCAGCTGATCAGGTGCAAACGACAGACGAGGACGTGCCATATCTATATATATAAGCGACTACCCGTACCAGATTCGAGTCGAGCAACTTCGATGTCATTGGCGTCTAGGAGGCGTGGGTGCCAAGAAACGTCAAAAGAAACGAAAACGAATTCCCTGTCCAAAAAGAGCTTAAGAAGGCTGTTGATGATGATGACGATGATGAGTGGCCCCGAGCTTAGGGCCGTGTTGCTAGCTAGTAAATGCAAAAACTTTAGACAGGGAATCAATTGTTGCCTTGTTTTATTTCGCTGAAAGACACGCAACAACAATAGCCCAGGTAACTGGCTACCAATTTGGATAGGAGGCGGGGGTCGTTGGCGTTGGCGTTAGCGTTGGCGGAGCGTAAGGCCAACAACCGTGAAAAGCGCTTCAGGATGACAGTTATGGGTTACAAAGGCAAGGATTGAATCAAATAAATAAAGGCACAAGGTTCAGTTCAGTGCAGTCAAGAGCGGGTACGCTCCGGCCTATAGGCCTATAGCCAGCACTGTGGAAGGGTCGAGGGTCCTTCGATGACGGGTTAACCTTACCATGTGTCCATGTCAAGTTTGCATGCGGCTGCAGGTAATTCTTCATTTCGCTTTACATAATCATAATAAATGTAGAAAGCCAATGAATGGCAAATCTATTAGCATATAACATCATATAAAACAAAAATACAAAGCACAAAATGTCTGCGAGCTGAGTGAAGGAACGAATCAACGAATCAGTTGCATTGTAGCAGTCGAATCGAAATGAACATCTGGAAGGCAAAAGTGTTGACGGAGGTGCCCTTTGGTCATGTGCTCATCCTTAGCGGCAAAGTCAAGCCACATCCCAATAAGTAGGCAACAAATATTTTTATACTCATCATTATCGACGCAGTAAATGCAAATCTTTGTAGAATCTCGTTGGATTTGACGGACAATGTGAATGCTCAGAATGAGAGCGAAACGGTTTTTCTGAAAATCGAAGCCAATTTTCGTGAAGGTCAGATCATACGCAGCATGTTCCAGCCAGGTGAGGGCTGGCAGCAGGAGGAGATATCCAAGAATTGGAAATGTGATGGACCCAAAAATCCGCTGGTCCCGGGTCAATGCTTCACCTTTCGCGTGGCCGTCCTTCAACGCTGCTTCGAGATCTATGTGAATGATCAGCTATATGGTTCGTTTGAGTTCCTCAAATTTCCGAAGCAAATCAACTATGTGCGCGCCTATGGAGATTTTGAGAAGATCACACAGTTCCACCATCGCATGCTATTCCCTCTGGTGTTTCCTCGCAGCTTGATGTGCGTGGATCGTGTGGCCTTTCAGAGCGATGTGCCAAGGCGCTATGAGACGGGCACCGTTGTGGCCATGGAATGTATTGCCAAGGGTCCGCCCACAACGGAGTTTTCCATTTGTTTCCAGTGCAACGATACGGGTCGCATGGTGCTCAAATTTCATGTGAACTTCGATAAGACGACCGTCTCGCGCTCTTATCAACGCGATGACAACAGGTGGGCACTTATCGTTACCCCCCTGTGCAATATCTAACGCTTCTCTTATCTATCCAATAGCTATGCTCTTGATGACGAGGAAACTGAAGGAGAATTTCCGTTTGTGCGTGGCAAACTCTTCAAAATCGCCTTCGGCATTGGCGATCGCTCGTTCCTCATTGCCGTCAATGGACAATATTTTACCTATTACAATTTCCCGTTACGTCCATTTTCCATATCTACGCTCAAGTGCTTCACCAATGAACTGGGCGACTTTTCCGTTAGGAGCTTGGAATATCACTCGGATTCCCCATTGCTGTCGCGTGTGGAGAAATTGTCCATTATCTAAAGAGGAATTACGGATTTTGAAATCTCGCTAGTTGCAATCGTTGACATTTTTTTCTTGTACACCAGTTAATTAACTACCTGTAGTCTAGCAAGTTTATTAAATAAATCGAACTCATTCATAGACAGCCATGGACAGCATTATAACTTTCTTGAAATTCCTGAACATCCACTGAAAATTAAACCCAAATATCTCTGACAACTGCAATACATTATTATTCTCTAAATATATATTATGATTTTTTGCTAGTAGAGTTTCCTTTAGCCATTTGGCTGCATTGCATGTGTAGCTATAAATATGTGTTTTAGCCCTTTACAGCTAAAAACTAGTTTTAGTGAACATCTTATATTCGTAAACATTTAGCTTTTTTAGGCTATAAACTAGCTATAAATTAACATAACGTATAACACAAAACATTTGAATTATCGATAAACGATTAAATCAACTTTTTATTTATTTAGGTTCCTTTAGTTATTGCAAGGACCAGGCTTTATTAAACAATTGATTGCTTTCGTCGCCAGTCCCACTCTCTTTATAAACAATATATATACCATATGGTATGTACTCTACTGTGATGCTGAGTGTGTGTATGTGTGTGTGTTTGTGTGTTTGGCTAAACTTCGATGAAGTACAACTTACAGTTAGTCTTACGGTTAGTTTCGAGTTTCCATTTTTAGAATAAAACACACATATACAAATCGAAACAGAGCTACAAACTAGACTTTTAAGTGGGGTTTATTCCCTTCAAATTCTGTTCGCAGGTCAAGGTCAACTACTTGTTCATATTGGATTAGATTATGAAAGCCGTTTTCTTAAAAGTAACGGAATTCGCCCTTCTTGCCCAGGTGCTTGCTACGCATCATATCCGTGGCATCCGGAGAACGTTGATCCATGATCGAATTGTCCTGCACAATAGTAAAAGAAACTGTTAAGTAACGGGTCTGCATGTGGATATTGAGATCTGACTTACCACATTGCCAGGCGACATGTGACGTGACTTATTCGCTGCCACCGACTGCTGTTGGCCATAGAACTGACCGTTGCCGCCGTCCCCATCGCCGTAATTGAAGGGCGTGACAATCGTGTGCGGCACATGGGCCACCTGCCCGCGCATATTGCGCGCCTTCCACCACTTACGGGTGTCATCCAGTATCTAGAAATGAAAGCACGCCATTTAAGTAAATTAAAGTAGAAATAAGGAATTTGACGCGTCGAAAGAGTTGGACAAGAGCTTAACCAAGTTTGTAGTAAACTAAATGCGGAATTTGGAAGCGATATCTCTATATCTCTATAGATAGGTTATTTAGTTGAAGTGGACCTTCCTTAAATTACTCAAAACGAGTATCTGACTGTATCAATTTAGAAGCAGTCTGTTCGACGCTGGAACATGTTTGTTTAATAGAGCCAGCCGTTCTACATGGATACTTCACTTTCGTTTATAGATCGTAAACCCACCTCCAAGTATTCACCGCGCATCACGCTTAGCTCTTTGTCATTGTTGGCGGTGCGTGGGTAGGTGACCAGAACAATTTTAGCGCCAGATGACTGAAGATCCTCTAGCCACGCTTCCAACAGCTGATCCTCGCTAACATTTGCATTGGAAACACCACGAGCTGTGACAGCGGATATCTCGGAGACACCACCACCAACGCCGCTCGCTCCATAGTTGCCGCCAGAGCTGTTCACGTTGCGGGAGTCGCGTGTGTGTAAATTCTGTAGACCCGCTGTAATAGCGCTGAGTGTGGGTCCAGCACTGGGGCCATGACCAGCACCACTGGGGGGAACTACACCACCACCACCGCCGCTGCCTCGCTCAATGGAGTCAAAGGAGAGCTCGCTGCGTGCATTGAAATCGGAGGCACTTATTGCACCGGATCGATCTCGATCTCGTTCTCGTTCACGGTCCCGATCGTTGCCATGGTGTATGGTGTACTTCTCGCTGAGTGAAATGCCAATGCCATTCGTGTCGTAGTCATCGTAGCCACCGGCAGCGACACGCCCATTCAGACCTGACAAGTGACTGCCCGGACCGGGCTGCACATCGAGACGACGCTTGCTGACGTGCGTAGGCGATGTGGCCTCCAGTTCATCAATGACTAAATAATCGGGTGACCAGCCATCGAGGAAGACCGGATGATAGGAGCCAACGTCCTCCTTCCACTGATCGCGTGGTATGACCCAGGCATCGCCCAGTGAGCGCCACAGCTCGGTCTCCTTGCTGGTGACGCAGTTGATTAGCAAATTGATGGCCTCGCGGGTGAGCAAAGGATTGATCACGCGCGATGGCAATTGCGACTCGTAGTAGGTGTCGCTGGATGCCTCCACGATGAGAGCCAGTGGTGTGAATAGAAAATGGACCAGCTCCGGCGCATTGGGATCGTGGATGTGCGCCTTCAACTTGGCCAGCAAATTGAACGAAAGCTTAAACTTTGCAAAAATATCCACGAACTCCTTTTCGTGTGGCGGCCGCGTGCGCAACGTGAGAAGACCCTCGCCAGGATCACGTTTCTTTGACTTGCGATTGCGACGACGTCGCTCCAGCTCCCTGGAGGCAGCTGCCGCATGCTGCAGTCGTGCAATGAACTTCTCGATGTCATCGAAGCAATGATTCAGCACAGCCACATCCCGTTCATATTTCTCGCTGGACGTGGAGCTTGTCTCGTCGCGATCATTGACGCCGCCATGTTCCGAATCTGTTTCGCCATTGTGGCCAATGTCCACATCGGTGACAGCGCCTGCTCCAGAGCCGCGCATGCCATACTGATCCACGCTGCTGCGCTGATGCATATGATGCTGCACTTGCAATTCCCGCTCCCTTTCCCTTTCCCTTTCCCGATCTCTGCCACGCTCCCGATCTCGTTGATCACGCTGATGATGCTGCTCCACGCGGCTGTGCGATGAGGAGGAGGATGTTTTGCTCATCATCATGCCGGCCATGCCGGAGCTCGAGGCGCCGCTCGTATGCTGTGTGGGCGTCGCACCACGCTGTTGTGTGATCATTTTCCCGCTGCGCAATTGCTTTAGATCCTCCACTAGATGAACAGCAGAAACGCTTTGTGACTGTTGGATAAAAAGAAAATTCAATTAGCCTCTGCGACATACTAAGGCTTCTATGAATGACTCACCTGAAATATGTGCATTTCGGACCGTGAACCGCCGCCGCCCGACACAATAAAGACCAGTATATTGTTGTAAAGCTCCATGGCATCGTTAGATGTGAAGGCTGTGGGCTCCTGCACCAGCGAGGCAGGAAATCGCTCGATTATGTTCTGCAATAGGACATTTATTAATAATCGTCTTTGCCTGCAAATTCCATATACCTACCCCCGTCTCGTAATCCATAATGAGCACCCATTGATAGTCCAAGCAGAGCTGCATCTTCTGCGACCAAATGCCTGTTGTCTTCTCCAGCTGCAGCAGACGACGCATGCCATCCGCTGGATACACAATGCCCGACTCCTTGTTCACGGTGAATGTGGCCAGATGTTCGAGGAGATATGTGGGCTTATCATGTAAATCCATGCCATCCAGGCGCTCCCGTTCCTCGCCACCGCTACGATCATCGCCGGAGTAATCGCCGCCAGCACCGCCATGGGCGCCTCCGCTGCTATTGCCGGCGCTGCCGCCACCATTTGAATGATGATTGACCATGTTGGCAATAGTAATTGTGAATGTTTTTCCGGACTCGCTTGCTGAAAGTGAAAATGTCGGAATTTACTATAAGCATCCACATTACCCAGTCAGGCAGCCAACTAGCTTATTTTGTGGCTTTAAATATTGCGCAGTGGTTGCGGCTCTGACTCAGGCCACATTCCATGCTTAACTCAAAGCGCAAACGCAACAAGTAAAAATGTTAAAACAGGTGTAAGCGACTGCGCAATACTCTGATAAACATTCAAGTCGATCACAGAGTCTGCTTGAATATTTGCATTCATGTAAACACAAAGGTCGTGCCCCCTAAACTGTGGTTGTTAAGACGTCGATTGTTGCCGACGAAAGCAACAGAAAAGAATGTGGCTTGATTTTAATAAATGATTGATGACATTTCTAACATAAATGGCGAACTTTTTCGTAATTATACTATGCAGTTCTAAAACAATTTACGTGCGAAACCGAACTACTCCTGCAGTAGTATGTGAACAGCGTATAGTTATTCTCAAACTTTAACATTTGTTCGCAGTCGCGCAGCTTTGGAATTCGAAAATCGCGCTCCTCCGTCTCATCTTTCCCCCAGTCCGAAGCTGAGCCCAGCTGTCAGTTTGTCAGTTGAATAGAATCTACCTGTTTGTCTATGTGGCCTCTGGCCGCCTTTCCGCTCACTCTCTCCCTCTCTTTCTCTGTCGCTCTCAACAGTTTGGCAAATCGCAAAGAGCACAACACAGACCGCTCTCTGGCATGCACATACACACAGATATATACATTGGCAAACAGCCGCTCCCTCGACTTAAGTGACGGCAACTACTTAGGCGTGTGCCGACGGCGACTGCGCCGGATGCCCAGTAACAGGCGATCACATATACAAATATGCACACATGGACGTGAGTGTGTGTGTGGGAATTTATAATTTGAATGTTAGAGCCAAACTATATTATGTACCGAATGTCATACTTGGCTTATTTATATTCTCGCATGTCAAATTGCATCATCGGCAAGGTATTTATTTTGTTTTTGTTATTGTTTTTAGTTTGGTTGACAGATTTACAGCACAAGTTATGCTTAGAGCAAAGACAACGTTGACGAATGGAGGTCATAAAATATTATCACACCTAACTAACAAAAGTGTCCAGAGCATAATGAAGCACACTGGCCCTACATGTATATTAATAATCATAGTTTCTGTGCTGTGTGGCGTCAGCGTCGTAAAAGCACAGTAATATCGTAACGGTCGACCGGCCGGCTAGGCAGCCATTCATTAAGTACAGATAATTAATTAAGTCATGATAAGCAACAATTTTGATAGTAGGAAAGTCATTCGTCTTAGTTACCTAGTCGTTGGAATTAAAATTTTAAAATAAAAATATATACACACTATATGTACATATTTGCCTCTGTGTGCGTGAGTGTGAGTATGTACATGTGCATGTGAATGGCTTAAGCTGCAGCCCCCTCCAGTGCGTGAGTAATAGTACAGATAAGCGTTGCCCGACTTATATATTATTTTTCAGTATTTCTCAGTTTTTTTTTGTTTATCTAAAAAACATTCCAATGGCGCAGACAAATGGCAAAACAACAAACGTTTTTGTTATTGCTAAGTGTGCTTGCTTTAGTTATTGTTGTTATTGTTGTTTATTGTTGTTTTTGTTGTTGTGCCCCTGTGAAAAACCAGCTTGTGAACAAGTGAGACTCTCGGCTCAGTTACAAATGGGGAGACATCGACACCGACACCCCAAGCAAGTACACTATGGCCATCCCGTTCACACACATGCGCATGCGTGACTGCCGCTTGCCAGGTGCGCTGAGAGTGAGACTCTGCTCTCCTACTTGAATTCTGTCTGAGTGTGTATGTGTGAGTGTGTGTGTTTGTCTGTTTGTTTGTGTGCGCTTCAAAAAGGTAACTCGGATTTGTCCCCGCTGCGTCTGCTGCAACTTTACTTTTTGACGACCGCATTTTTTAGCTTTCTTTTCCACCTGTTTTTCTCTTGCTCTGTTGATATTTTTTTATGATTTTTTTCCACAGGCACTCACACAGGCGGGTGCTTACTGTTAGGTACACATATGTAAAAATACAAATACCTTAGTGTATGTTTGTGTGTGTGTTGATATTGTACATAGCATAGGCAATAATGCCAAAGGTAGGTATGCACACAAACTGGGAGCGGCGGCAGGTTTCACATATTGATTTTCAATGCTTTTGTTCAATTCATTCACTGATTCATAGCGACCTGCGATATCTGTTTTGCCTCTATATATGTATGTATGTGTGTTTTTATATTCTAATTGACCGCTTTTTTTGATCATCTGATATGCAGATATGGTAATATTTATTAAATGCAGTATGTGAAGAATGTATTTTGCTTACATTTTTTATTTTTATTTTCGTTTGTTTTTTTCATGAAAAAGGAAAAGTTTTTATTTTTACATTTTTCAATTTTATATATACTATTCGTTATCGTTTATACAATTGATTGCCTATTAAACTAATTGACAGCATTTAAAGGTATTTGATATGCAAATTTGTTTTTATTTAAGTCTGTGCAAGTATATGTGTGCATATCTCGCACCTGTAAATACACACACACATACAACTGCCTTGTTAACATTTATCAATAACTAATACACGCGCAAACACATTTACATTCAAACCTAACACATCTTCCCTCTCTCATTCTTATATTGGCACATTCTTTAGCTAATTAGCACGAATTTCAAATTTTTGTTGTCACATTCGATACAAATATTTTACAACTGGTTTTTTCAAATATTCGATTGTGTTAGGCAGGGCATGCTTAACGCATTGGATCCATTAAACACTTCACAGACATTAACGCTGGCTTATTATTTTCATTAAAAAAAACACACACATAAAAACTAACTGTAATTGGGCTTGCGTTTTTATCTAATTTCTTTCTTTCACACTTGACATCTATCTCCCTCCCTCCACACTCCCAATCTCAGCTTAAGAGAGCAGCTCGTCACAACTTTTTTGTTTTCTTTTTTTTACCTGCCGTTTACTTGTTGTGCTTTTGTATTCTCGTCCGCCTTCCTTCTATTTTGGCTTTCCACTTTCGTTCGTTCTTCTCAATTTTTACAGCACTTTTTTAGTAACCAAATCTTTTGGCTTATGCATACGCAACTGTATGCGTACTTTAATAACTGATTTAATTATTTTCACACTCCTTGTTTGCAAATTATATGGAATATAAATGAAATAAACTATAGCCGTATTGTCGCCGTAATTATAGTTTTTTATAAAGCACACGCGTTGTCCGCTGTGGCCGCGTTTAGTACGTCAGGCCAGACCAAAATCAAGGTACTAACTTGGCTAACTCAACACGGCTAGCTCTAGCTCCGTTAGCCAGAGCCACAAGAGCTAAGCCTCAAAGTGTCAGTCGTCGTGCCGAGAGCGAAACAGTGACCGATGCCACTCAGAGAGTGAGAGCGCCAGCGTTGCCACCTAGCAAATTTAATTTGTTGTAAATATAAGTACGTTAAAAGTAAATACACAGCTGGTAGGATGAAATGGTGGAATATATATTTAATGAGACACATTTATATACTTATTTCATATAATCGTTAAAATATTCTTTATTTGATTGCACAATAATAACGATCATCGCAAAAACAGCAAACCGTATTAATGATCATATTTTTAGATAAGTGTTATTAGCTATACTATCATATGTTTAAAGTTTATTAAGGCTGGCCATTTCATTCAACTTGTACATTTTGTATCTATCTATTACCTATAAACAAATACATATAAAATTTTTTATATATATATAGATGATTCTGACAAAGAAAGGTGACCATGGTGGTCTACTAGTTTAGCGGAAGTTTTATTGTTTTTATAAAAATGGTTTAAGTTAAGAAACTAATTTAAGACCGTATTTGTAGATCAACTTCTCTTGTTTTTATTAGCTTTCATTAGCTTGGCTTTCAAGGCCTGCACATCGACCTTATTGTCCTCTGCAGGACGCTTGCGACTTGAACCAATCGTATCTTCTGTAGGCGGCACAAAGTCCTTGTTGCGGCGCTCGTCCTGTTTCTTGGCTGCTTCCACCTGTTTAGCAGTGCGTTCCTGTTGTCTCTTGGCCTGCTTCTGCTCCTTGTTGAGGAAATATTCTCCTGTAGCCAGCTGCTTGTCGATTTTGCTCTCTGGCTGTTGTGGCGGGAATGGGGTGTATTCCTTTTTGGGCTTCTTATTCTTGGGCTGTTTGCGTTTGCTGATATTCTTGTTCTTGAACTTGGGCAAAAAGCGTGACCAATCCTCGTTGGCCAGTTTGGGATCCTTCATAAGCTCGCGCTTGATCATCAGAGCTTTGATATTGTAAATAGGATGCACATTGTTCATGGTCTCCAGTACAATGTCGCGTACCTGCTGCAGTCCCTTATACGGGCCGAGAGCTGATACTGTGTTGCCTTGGACCAGAACATAGCAATCGGTGAGCAGCTCAATAGACTTGAGGGTGGCACCATTGGGGCCAATCAGACGCTGCCGCCGTTTCACGAATTTCTCCTTTTTGTGCACCAGATTGCCGATTTTAATGATGTCGCACCCGGTGTCGTCTTGCAGGACACGTTTTGCTTGCTCGAACGGTACACTGCGTGCCATCAGTTTAATCATGTCGCGAGATTTTATGATGATATATGGGTCCCATGTTTTGCGTGTTGTCTTTACCACCATACTGCCTTCTATCAAATCCAGTTCTGCCTTTAAATGATGCTCTGCTACACATTGTTGCACTAGGGGCCAAACTTCCTTTAAATATTTCTCACGATATTTGGGAAAGAGCGTAGCAAAGGAGCTCTCTTCGACCAGACCATGTGGATTATCTTCGGGCTTGAATGTGGGTATTTTCAATGACCACGCATTGTCTACAGGGTCTGTATTTTGCTTGGTGGGACCTTCACTTTCATTGTCGCTCATACTATCAACTTTGTAAAAACCTCTTTAGCTTGAATACGATTTAAAAAAACTTAGCCGTGCACGTTTGTTTTGAACAGCTGCCTATTAAGTGTGACAGTACAACAAATATCGATAGTGTACAAAGAAAGCAAGCATCGATAGTAATTACGACATCCCTACTTACAATTAACAAGGTTGTATTGATGTAGCAGTATTAAAATGAATAAAGAATTTTATTTGTACCTTGTATTAAATAGGCCATTACAATTTTATTCTTAATCGTGTTGTGTACATTTATGTACTATCGTATTTCCACGATAATCGAAAAATATCGATAGTTTCTCAAGCAAGGTGTGTCGAATAAAATTTTTCCATTCAGTTTTCATTCTATTGTTGCTTTTGGGTGAGTTTGGTCGATGTTATTTTCGTTGAGGCACGGACTTTCACTTTCGCATATAACTTAAGACGCAATAAATTTACAAAACTCGTCGACATTAAAAATGAGCAAATATTGCTGACGAACAATTGAATTGAATTGAATTGATATTTGGTAGGCATTGTTGCAAAAATTTCATCAATATACGTAAAGCGAAGTGTCGGAATAAAAGAAAAAACACTTGGGGGCGTGGATGTGACGTGCAAAATTTGCATAAAGTTGATTTAACTTGGTAGTTCTCTTATTTCAAGTGGAAAACATTGGTATTGTATTGTTAAAATATATATTTTTTCGCATATTGCGTATTAGTGATCAATTTTGTGAAAAATCAATATGGCGTCGTTGACGCGCCTACGTGGCTACGTTACGGCGCTGCCAACTCCCTTTAATTAAGAATATCGAAAATAAAAAAATTTTGCAGCTAGGAGGCGACATCAAACAAATCAAGCGCGTGTTAAATCATTCCAATAAAAATGTTCTAGAGAAATATTTCATCATATATATGTATATAATAATATATGTTTTTTTCGAGCGAATGGTTAGTTTCAATGCAGGGTTGGATGTTCACTTTGAGTATCGATTGCACTTAGTCGATTGGTTTTACAACGTCGAGCATTAGAACGCGAAACACGTTTTTGTTATAATCGATTTGCTGATGAAATTGGTCCAGTCGTAACGTAAACAGTACTTAACTTCAATCTAATATTTGATGAACATTGGTGATCAATGGCGATTTGAAGGACATGGATTACACATATGTACGAAAATTTTCCATATGGATATTAAAAAATTTATTGCGTCGCTAGGTAGCGTCTTTTGCAAAGTGTTTAACATAGTTATTTTAATAAGTATAAATGTATGTGCATAAATACTGAGTGGTGTTTTCTACGTTTTTAGATCTGAATCGACAAAAGATTGCAAATTGATGGCCTAAAATTGGTGCATTACGTAATTTTCGTGGTGTTTATATATCAACGTTTGCGTTAGAAAGAGACGACAATAGTGCATTTACTATTTGGCGTTGCCACATAGTATTAAAACAAATTTAAATATGGTGAGTTTGTAATGCTGTTTTAAGCGTGTTTTGCTCAATAGACTTACAAAATTAAAATTTTTTTACAGCCACGCATAGTGCCCTTACAGTTATTAAAGTGCCTGCGGGTGCTTTTGGATACCAATGGGGGTATACTAAGTGCAACAGAAGTAAAACGGATAGCTGGGTAAGTTGTCAACATCTGCGACAATCAACAAGGCGCCCTCTAGCGTTAATTTTTTCGGTTCATTTTATAGGTTAATGACGAAATATTCCAAAAAGCTAGTATCAAAGTGCGTTTACGTGCAGATTTTAAAGTCGACCAAAACCGAACTACTCGGAGATTTTATGACTGTCGGTGGATGGGGTTTGGTCTGCACCTGGCTAAGTGATGCGATTCGTACAATGAACTGGCCTCTCGTACAAGAAATACTTGAACTATTGCTACTTTCTCCTGTTGATGTAAATAGATTAAAAATAAATTCGGCGCCAATTTTGGTCAAGGGGCTTTGTAAAGATGGGGGCAATGAAGGTGAGTGCTGGTCGACTCGCAACTACATTTAAACATTATTTTATAATTAACTAATCCAAACAATATGATTGTTTGTTCTCTTCTTTTTTGCAATTCTTAGGCGTTCGTATACTGGCGAAGCGGTTGGTTGAGCAGTGGCTTAAAATTGTTACAGAAAATCCAAGTGGAACAACAATAACCAGTTCGGCTAGCGGTATAGTCGAGTCACATAGCGTTTCTGGAGGGGACCAGAAGGACTCGCATATGGAGCACAGCTCATCAGACAGCACTGACAGCGGCGGTGCGCCCGTTAAACAGAACTACACGATTACTTCGGCTGAACGCAAACGCAATATAGTTATAACAATCAAAACTGTTGACAAATCTGCGTCTACGTTAGCAACCGCAGATAGTGTATATAATGATGACGATAGTTCCTTACCACCATCAGAGACGGGCTCCGAGTCCAGAGGGACAGAGTCTAATGCTCATTTAGAAAGTTCTGAAAAAACTAATTTAGATGATAGTAGTACAACAGATTCAAAGATTGATGACGAGGCTGATAAGAAGCACAAGAGTGCGCGCGACAAGAGTAGGAGGTCGGAGAAAGATCGTGACAAGGATAGGAAATCGTCCAGCAGTCACAGATCCTCTTCATCTAGCCATAAGTCGTCTTCGTCATCCTCAAATTCAAAGAGCTCCTCGAAGAGTTCATCTTCGTCCCATCGTAGCTCAAGCGATAAGCATCGTGATAAGGACAAGCCACGATCAAGCTCCAGTTCTAGCTCGAGTAAAGATAAGGATCGAAAGGAGGGTTCTAGCTCATCCTCATCATCTAACAAGCATAAATCCTCAAAATCCTCGTCATCGTCATCTTCTTCTACTTCGTCAAACTCTAGCATGTCCAAAGATCGCAGTCGCGATAAGGATAAAGACAAATCGTATTCGTCGTCGTCTACGACGGCCTCCTCCAAGAAGGAGAATGAAAAAGATAATAAACTGATGCCACCGCCAACAGCTAGTGCATCAGATAAGAAATCTAAAGAGGGCGATGCTGATGTGCAGAAGCCAAAATCGATATCCATACCAAATAGGAAGGCATCGATATCGATCGAAATACGCCGTGATACCGAGAAGACAGCCACGGTAAAGACGTATCAGTCCAAATTTCGATCCCATGGTCTCACCGAGGAGGCGCCGCCCCCACCCTCGCGCAAAGGTCTTAAGAAGCCGACATCCACGGCGCCCACATCAACAGCTCCATCGGTGTTGCCAGCAGCAACGGCGCTGAAGAGACCCTCCCCACCACCTAGCAGGGATACGCCCGTCGAGAAGAAGCCCAAAATAGACATCAACAATCTGAGTGGGCATGTGGACCGGCCAGGATCAGTTAAGCTGATAGCACCCAAAAAGAGTAAGCACCGTTTCATAGAGCTCATTACTAATCTGCCTGTTTTATCTTTCCAGAAACTGAAGGTTTTTGCTTTTGTTTGCTGCAATTTGACACGAACTTGTGTGTATTTTTGTTGAAATCATTTTAGGGAGTATAATTTTCGCTTGGGTGGTTGATCGATTGATTGATTGGTGGGTGGGTTGCTCAATTGGTAGCCAAGGTTGGGGCTAGGTTCTAAACCAATATTTGCCCAATTTTGCGCGCTGATCGACTGGGGGTCACGCGACAGTTCCTATTAGAGTTGAATTTTTGATTTAGTTGGAAGCTACATATACAAATGGACTGATAATCGTAAGGATAATTCGCCGGGACGTCAGCTGCCCGGCCAACGGGCAGGCGTATTCGACACGCCGGGATGGGTCTTCAGCGGCAAGAGCAAAGTCCACGCTGTACGGCGCATGCGCTTCAGTGGAAAGCCGGCGCGGCGACAAGTCGGCTTGGTGTTAAGTATTAAAACTCAACCTCCAAAAAAACAACAAAAAATATAGACAATTACATTTACCTTTAAATCTATGCAATACACGTTAATGATTTAGCTTATAAGGTATGTAGATGCAGCTTACTAACCTACTACATACAATACAATACAATACAATACAAAAAAATGATAAGAAAAAACGAAAACAAAAAATAAATACGACTTTCCTCTAGAAAAATATACTTTTTCTACTGAAATAAAATATGATGATGCATTAAACAAAACGGAGAATATATAATTATATATTTATATATAAAATATCAACTTTGAGCTGGCTGTTCTTAAAGTTTGGTAGCCGAAATGATGACAGCACGTTACAGTTATCGCTGGCTATGATGGCCACAGCGATATTTTGACAAGTACACCTAATTCACTTATATATATACATACTCTGTTGAAATGAGTAAAAGAACGAAAACTATATAGAATACTGTTCTGTTGCACGTTCATTGACGCTACCAAGGTCTGAGAACATGGCCGCCTTTTCACTTGAAGGCCTGCAACATGGCGTAAGCCACACGTTGATCACTTGAGTCAGTTGCTCAGCGAGGGGTGTTCAAGAGGTTTTATAAATTGTGTTTTTTTTTTTTTTTTTTTTTTTGGTAGAGTTAGTCGCTTTGAGTTCATCTCAGTTTTGGGTTGGTGTGCACGGACTGCACCTATACAGATATATATATATATATATATATATATATGTATATATATTATATATATTCAGCTATATGGTATACAGATAACGCTAGTGTCCGAGCACGTTTTGTTTTTACAGCTATCCAGCCAGTTGTCGGGGTTTTTCTATAGTCGCTTATCAGTTGGTAGTTTGTTTCAGTTCGCAGCAAAAGCAAAAACCTGTGCAGTACGTAAAGATCTTGAATTAAACCCATTCCATACAAACTATATTATATAAACTTATATTAATTGTTTTTAATTTATTGCAGTTTCAACTCTGGTGGAAACGAATCTTTTCTCGGATGCGCTGGCTGCTTCCATAGAACCCAAGAAGGTTGTCAAGCGTAAGCGACTTAATGCGGCTGCTTCGCCTACGGAAAAAGATGCGCCGCTGGCGCCGTTGAAATTCTATCAGGACACTCTCGATGAATCGAAGATTGAGGACAAGTCTGATGATAGCACCAAGGAAAATGATGACAGCAGAACGGCATCTCCTGGCAAAGACACCGATGTGGACGATGATGATATACCATTGAAGAAGGTTAAGGAGGACATTGAGCAGAAGGTGCAAAGGGAGAAGTCGGCTGTGGAGAATGCCGAAGGCGGTGCCAGTCCAGACGATGCGGATGACACACCCGAAGAGCCAAAGAAACCGGGACCTGGCTGCGGTCCCAATGGACCGCCGGGCGTGCTTATGCTGCACCGACGCCGGGGACCGAAGAAGAAGCTAACCTGGCAGCCTGATGAGAAATTGACGCAGATTCGTTACTTCGAGGTGGATCGCTCGGAGCGCGTAAATGTGACGAAGCAGAGCTTCCTCGAAATGAAGAACATGGAGCGTTACAGTGAACGCGATGCGTTGAACATAGCGCGGCGTGGCTTCGACGATATCATGGAGCCACAAATGGAATGGCGTCCACTGATCGAAGTGGCCAATGTACCCGATCATCCCAATGGCAATCTGTCCAAGCAGCGAGTGGTTCAGGCGGAACGAGAGGCAACTACGTTGCGTGCACTCTACTTCTCGCCGGACATGATACCGGACAGCGCAGCCGAGGCGGAGCTGGAGCCGCATTTCTCGCACGACATTCCAATTATACCCATTGATGATTTGACTGGCAATCCGGACGCGGTCAACGACTACAGTTCGCTGCCCTGGCCGGAGCCGAAGGGCTACAGTGCTGCCAGCAACGAGATGGGCTACAATGATAACATGAATAACATGAATAATCCCGGCATGAATCCCAATATGTTGCCGTCCAACAATCCTTTCCAGCCGTTTGGCAACAATTTCATGCCCGGCACAGGGAATATGCCACCAAATCCAAGTCCTCAGATGCCCATGAATATGCCACAATCGGGACCGCCGCCCATCTGGCAGAATCAAATGGGCAGTCCCATGATGAATCCAATGAATGGACCTCCTGGCGGCATGGACATGAACAATCCGCCTGGCATGCCACCCAACTTTATGGGCAACCAGTTTGGCAGTCCTGGCGGTCCGTTTGGTGCTCCTCCAGGCTTCAATAACATGAACTATCCGCCAATGATGATGAACGGACCGGGACCGGGTCCAGGACCTAATGGGCCCATGATGAACGGGCCGATGGGGCCCAATGGCATGGGACCCATGTTGAATGGTGGTGGACCACGCAATAACAACATGAACAACAATCGCAAGAACAACGGAGGTGGAGGAGGCGCTGGCGGCGGCAATTGGCGCAGTGGCGGCAACAATTTCCAGGACAACTCCGGCGGCAATTGGCGGTCAGCGGGCTCTGGCTCCAATCGTGGTGGTGGCGGTGGTAACAACACGGGCATCTGCAAGCAATTCATGCGCGGCCACTGCCACATGGGCAAGTCGTGCAAGTACGTGCATCCGCAGAAGAAGCGTATGTAGGACTCACCCGAATCTTCCGAGGAAGATTCGCTTGTATAGATCTCACAGAGCATCACAGCTTTGCACACAATCCCAATCACACACCCGCCCCCATGTACATTCACGTAAATCTCTGCGATATGGATTGTGATCCCAAACAAAATCGGATCACACGCCACGCTGCTCCCCCAGCCAATGAAGACTGTAGCCTGGAACGCCAATAGGAGGAGGAAGATGAGAAGAGAGAGCCGCCTCGCCAGGCGTCCAAAAACTTAGTTTTATATTGTGTATATATATTACTATATATAGAAACTATGTTAATATCAAATATCTTTCATACGGATTAGTATAATGTAAAAAGTAAAGGAAACTCATTTTTAATTTCATAAACTTCAACTTAAAATATTTATAAGGTTAGCTTGTTAATAATAATAAATAAAGACCAAGTCATATGAAGAAAGTTACAAATTATCTTTAATTATTTATAGATTGCAATAGGTACAGATAAGAGAAATGTGCATTTATATTCACTTAGATCTAAATAGAGTTATTTTAAATTCTTAGGCATAATTATGAAAGATTTTTGAACTCGTGGATTGATCAGGTTTAATAATTTCCTTAGTTTGTTCATGTTTGATAGAAATTATATAGAATAAAATTGATTAAAAACATAAAATTGATTAATCTTTATTGCGATTAAGTCTGTTTGCTTTTCGATAATAAATTATGATAAGTCTCATTTCAACTCTGCATAGGCGAGTCATAGATATTTTCAGATTTTCAGAAATGCTTCAATATTGGCATACTTTTTAGCACTCATTAGAACTTAGACGAACAAATAGATTTAATTACTAAATTTTTTATTTCTTAAGTTTTTTTAAGGAAATTTTTGATCAAATTGAATATTGGTTTAAATATATAATAGCAAATATCTCAATATTTTTTGAGTCTCAAAAATTTTCTTTTTTACAAATGGGGTCAATATTTATATATATTGCGATTATCTATATTTGCAACTAAATTGAATTGAAAATAAAAATAATATTGCGAATATCGGTTTAAAAATATGGAAAATATTTTAAAAAAATTTCGTTTTTTATAAATATTTTAAAAATTAATATGTTGCGATTATCTATATTTTCAACTAATTTGAAAATAATTAAATTGTTAACTTGCATTTTTTTTTTTGAAATTTTCGACAAATTTAAAAAAAATAAATATTGCAATTATTTAGATTTTCAGCTTGCATAAATATGTATATAAACATTATTAAAAGCATTTTATATTTTAAAAGTGCATTTTGAGAAAATTATCAACTTAAAATAAAAATGATCATAATTAATTAGCTAGATTCATCCGATGCTAGGCAGGACCTTCCAGAATTTCTTTGAGCTATGATTGCTGAAAGTTCATAAAAATAAGAGCGATTCACAGCATGCGCCATTTTTACTTAATTATATTTGAAGCGCACCTGTGCAGTGTTAAAGGTATGCTACATACCGTTATATATAACTGCGTTTGCTTGTGTAAAGAAATGTCACAAAAAATCAATGGCACACATATATATACACATACATATATATATATATATGTCTGTGTGTGTGTCTATGTATTTGGGCTGTTGACTAGTTTGTTGCACTTAACCTAAAATTTGTAGGGCTTCTTCCGCGCTCGTAGCTTGGATCAGCGGCTTTTCAGTTTAGTTGCGTTTGGCTATTTCATCAGACTAAGTAAAATATTTTGCTTGTTTTTTGGTGGTTTTTGGGGTACATGATGAGGTTACTCGGTTGCTGCTTGAATTTACTTGCCTTGTGCGCTGTGGGTCATGCGTTGAGCTTCACTGTAACTTCGCGCATTTACATGGATGTGAAGCAGAAGAAGCAGTCGCTGGGCCGGATTACATTTGGTCTCTTTGGGCAGCTGGCGCCCAAGGCGGTGGCCAATTTTCGACACATCTGCCTGCGCGGCATCAATGGCAGCAGCTATGTGGGCGCCACGTTTCATCGGATCGTGGATCGCTTTCTGGTACAGGGCGGCGATATAATCAGTGGCGATGGCACTGGCTCCATCAGCATCTATGGCGACTACTTTGAGGACGAGGACAAGGGGTTGAGCATTGAGCACAATCGACCCGGCTACCTGGGCATGGCCAATCGGGGACCCAACACGAATGGCTGCCAGTTCTATGTGACCACGGTGGGTGCGAAGTGGCTGGATGGCAAGCACACGGTCTTTGGCAAAGTCTTGGATGGCATGGATACCATATATGCCATAGAAGACGTGAGTGACGCATGACACATATTGCTATAGGGCTAAAAAAAATAAACTTTCATTTTTAAACAGGTGAAAACCGATACGGATGATTTTCCCATCGATCCGGTGGTCATAACCAACTGTGGAGAGCTGCCTACGGAGCAATTTGAATTCTATCCGGACGACTTCAATATACTCGGCTGGATCAAGGCGGCGGGCTTGCCCGTCACCAGCTCGTTTCTAGTGCTACTCATATTCCACTACTTTTTCCGTCAACTCAACATGTATTGCTAACGACCTGTGTGGCAATTTTTTATTCACTTAATACTCAACTAGTTGCACATTGTCTGTTTATCGATTACAATAAAGCGATAAAAAAATCCAGAGTTCATCGGGCCTTGATGACGCCATGCAGTGCAATGGGCATAGTGGGTCCCATGTGGAGCTGGAATCGAGAGAGTAGAGAGAGAGAAGGTAGCAAGTTCTGAGAGTAAAGATAAAGGTATATGAGGTGTATATATATAACACTTACATCAATATATATATAATCCACAACATGTTGATTGATCGCATAGTACTTGGACTCTGGCTTAAAGTAGCCCACCATACGCATCTCAATGCCGGAGAAATTGGAATGGTATGACGTATGGACGCGTGCCAGCGTGAAATGATGCTTGTGATCGGGATAAACGGAGAGGTTCAAGCTATTATAGTATTCATCGATCAGGCGACGATCCATATTGGCTATATCACGCTGATGGATGAAATCTTCGAAATCGAATGAGTGGGCGTGCTTCAATTTGGGATTTTTATCCGCATCCAGTAAACGTTCCCACATATTGCGATAGGTCTTGTTGAAGTACTCTGGCTCTGTACACTTCTCGGCCCAAAACGTGAACTTCTTTTCGGTACTGTTGGTTGATGCAAATATTAGACTTAAGCTTAATGTAAGATTTTCCCCTGAAACCTACTGATTTTCTATGCTAAAGTCCACATAGAGACCCGGAATGCGAACAGCGGTGCGGGCTGCTGCAATCAGCTTGCCGGGTCCAAAGAAATGGAAGCGCAATTCAAAGCGACGCAAGCTATTACGTACCAGGGGACCCAGATTCAGGACATAGGCGAGCTGTTCGCAGGGCAGCGGCTGCACAGTGAAGTGTCTGGCAGTGATGGGCAGTCTGTAGCCTTGCGGCTTGTTGTGGTTGACATAGCTCTGATAAACCTTGTGATGCTGTGTTAAGAGGCTCGGATTGACGCGCAGTCGGTGCAGGTAACGCTCTGTGACGAGCATTTGGTTGAGCACCACGCCATTGGGTAGCGACTGATTGTTATTGACCAGCACATAGGTCTGCACCATCTTGAAGAGCAGTATGTCATGGTAGCGCTGACGATCACTGGGCATCTCGCTGTCGCTCTCGGAGATCTCACTGAAATCGCTAGTTATCTTTTGCTCCTGTGGTGCCTCCTCCTCCAACAAGCCAATTGGCTCTTTGTCGGTATGCGTAATGCTCTTGAATGTCTCGTAATTGTAAATCTTACGCATATAGTCGTACTCTTCTATAATCTCGGCCCTGCTCTGCTCAACCATGGGCAAGGACGTCGTTAAACTCAATATGGGCAATATACCCTGACCGCGAAGTCGGAATTGGCTATTGGCCGTGTTGTTGATCAGCACCTTAAATATGTGCTGAAAGTTCTCATTTAGGCCCAAAATGCCCGATATTTTGACCTTGTCGATGCCCAGTGGTTCCATGAACATTTCCTCATCTTGCATTATTTTGGCAAAGCCATCGATTAGTTGCCTTTCATTGCTCGCTGGTCCAGTAATAATTAATTGTAAAACATATTTGGTGACATTCGAGATGCGGATTACAGCGTTGAACGACTCGTACCAGGGCTGCGGATAAAAAGATGGGATAAGAGAAGATTGAAGAGAGATCGATTGAGTCCAAATACCAACCCGGACGTTGAGATAGATATTATCTTTTAGAAATTTAATTTTCTGCGGCAAATTGACCAGAGTCACGGACAAATATTGACTGCTTCCGCCCACGACATCCAGTTGGAACAGGGCCTTCACCTCATGCGAGCGACGAGTATGTGGCAAATGCATCAGACACTGCTTTTTCTCTACCTGCGCCACCTGTCCCGCCTTTTCGTAGAAGTAAATGAAGCGATCCGAGTAGCAGTATTCGGAGGAGGGCTCGGATAGTCGCTGGCTGGACTCAAGGTTCAGTTTACTCAAAATGTAGTTAATTGTGTGCTGGACATAGCTCGTGTCGCTGCAGGCATCGCTGTCATCGTATATGTCGGGGATTGCGTCTAGGGGTATGTGGAATCGACTATGGCTCAGATCTAGTTCGTTGAGAATCTCCTCGATTATATCGAAGATCAGGGAGTCATGCTCGTGCTCGCGGCGGAACTGGCAGCGACACTGCTGATATCGCAACGTCATGTTCTCCTCCTCCGCACAGCTAAAGTTGTACTCCAGGGTGCGTATGATGTCGGAGAGAAGTTCGGCAACCACATCGTCGGGATCATTGTCACCAATGAACACATCGGACTCCTCAATGCGCTTCCATTTGTAATCGGCTGTGGTGGTGCCATCATTGATGATATTCACATAGTAGTCGAATGGACGACCACGATCGAATAGCACCAGCTCGGGCTGAACTATATGGATTTCGGGCACCAGCACGGATAGCCGTAGATTCAGATATTTCTGCTGTTTGCCTACGGCCTGAACATTGATGCGTCCCTCGATTATTTTGCAAGCGAGTTGCTTCACTGTTGAGTTATTGAGAGTGACGAAAATTTCTTTTTGCTCCAAGGCATCGAAAGACACATTGATCTCCTTCTCAAATGCATGTTCGTACAGCGCCTTGATACGAAACGGACCCACAACCTCGAGAAGTACATCCTTAAAGGGTATATTCACTTGGCTGCACAGCATTGCTGAGCGTGTCTGCGGGCGCTGTTTCAGTGGATAACTGGCCTGGAAATCAAAGCTGAGTGACCTGCGATCCCAATTCAGCTGGCCTTCCACAAACTGTGCCTGAACTGTCAGACGTATCACATGCTTGCGTTGCGGATATTTCAGGTCCGTCACGACCAACATAAAGTCACAAAAGTAAAGGCCTTCCTCATAGCTAGTCATCATTATGTCGATGAACTCATCCGCCCGCGGATACAATTCCACGACTTTGGGTTGTATGTCAAAGCGAGCCGTCAGCGGCTGATTGACACAGGAGCTTGTCTTCTTGGCCGGATTGTAGGTGGTTAGGCGTGTCACATTCAAGCGATACGATCGAAATCCTCTATTGGTCAGTTTTACGCTGAAATGATAAGGATAGATCATGTTCATAAAATTTTCGCGGGTATCCGTAAAGAGTTGACCCGCATCTAAGCCATCGGTTATATCGGGATCAAAATATATTGGCACTCCCTCCACCAAAAATGTTATTGGTATTTCCATGATGTTATCAAACTGCAGATCAATGTATAATACGTTGTGATACAGATCTGGATCTGGAAACATTGATACCAAAGTTGTGTACATGCTCTGACCGGTCGGCGACAACTTCCCACCTCTCGTTGTGAGGTACTGAAATTCGATGTTTTCCTGGGAACAGAGAGGACAATGGTATCTGATACAAGGTCTGTCGGCGTAAACTTACCAGTTTCATGGAGAGCACCGTATTTGTCGGCGAGACATTGTCGATATATAGATAATGCTTGTGTTCTTCGCAAACCTTCAGACGAACATACACAGACATCTGCGAAATGTGTATTTCCGTGGGCAACACGTTCGCAAACAAATGAAAGGGAAACGAGTGTGGAGCGCCGACAATTTTGATGAGACCCGACAGTTTGTTGGAGCCTAGAATACGGAACACGACAAAACAATGGGCTGTCGAACGGGAATTGGAGCCAAGATAATACTTCCAATTGCCATCGCTAAAGCCCATTTCGTTTGGCTGCAAAAGGCGTTCGGCTTTCAAATTCCCCATTTTTTTTGTTCAGTGAACTCTTTATGAATACTTACAATAACATCGAAGTGTAGGAATCCACCGATATTTGAGATATTGTCGAATGTCATTTCAAAGGTATATTCCTCACCCGCATACATAATGCGCTCGGTGAGATTGACATAGCTCTCCCAGACGATCTCTGGTATGCAGCAGTTGTAATCGAACCAGAGTTTTGAGCAAAGATATTCCGATTTGATTAGCATCTTCATTTGCTGCTCATTAGAGGACTCCGAGCTAGCCACGGGCACAGCCGGACAGATCCGCACGGTCAGCGAACGATGATAGTAGCCGGCGCGATTTGGTACGATCAATATGGTTATACTACGTCCAGTATTTGGCCTGAGATAGATAATCTCGTTATCGCAATAGACTTCGGCGGGATAGCTTGGTATGGCGTTCCAGTCAAGGAATATGAAATTGTTGTGCGTCTTCATTATATTAAAGTAATTCGTATTCAAGAGACTGGTCAAAGCCTCCTGAATGACGCGTTTGTCCGTTTCCGATTTGTCGAAAATCTTCTGTTTCTTTAGATTTTTCAGCAGTTGGGCAGCCATATCAGGTATGCAATCTGTGGGACAGCCAAAGTCAACTTCAATTGACAGCAGCATAAATACCCTAATCAAGATGTAACAAAATAGCTAAGCTAGAAACATAGTTCATATGGACAGAGGCAGATGCGTTGGCCAATTTCTAATAAATTCCAGGAACAATTTAAGGACTCGCAAGCGACTTACCCATGATATCCTCTTCAAATTGAATACTATATTCGGATTCGTTGATTGAAAACGATTTCATGGATTCCGTTTCCAACTCATCAGTCGTTATTTGAATATTATCAGTCAGATCGACTTCCGCGGCCAGATCATCGTGCACTTGCTGCAATTGTTTGATGGGATCTCTGATTGTTATGGGCAACACGTCCGCCTCGCGTACATTAAAGACCAAAGGCTGTTCCAAGCCATCTTCCGTGGGCTTCACCTGCAGTGTGATGGGAACGGCCAATGGATTCATAAGGAGCATAAAACGTTTCTGTGGCACCCCAAACGGAACGTTGCCGAATTCGACCAGTTGAGGGAATGTGCGCAGCTGAATGTGTTGGCCAATGCCCCTTAAAAGAGTAGGTTACTGAGTTGCTGGCCGTATTCAGTATTCAGCACAGAGGAGCTTACTTTACGCTTACATCGTAATATAAGCCGTTCGTCACCTTGAAACGCAACGTCACGAAGAAACGTGATGGCACAATGGTAAAGAATGATAAATGGAAGATGCCACGTTCGCACGGCTGTAAGCTGAATCCCTCATCGGGGGTAACGCGCACGCCACAGATATCTTTCTCCAGACACTCCACGTATTTTACCTTGGCAACAACACCTGATCAGAGTGATATTATTTTTGGGCAAGTCGATCAACAGCTGTCTTACCGACCATCCACGTTTAAGACCTTGATGAATGCGCAATGCTCCTCGCCCAAATAGATCTTTCGAAAGTCAATTACCTTCGGAAAGATCTCCACTTCAATGCCCTTTATCTCCCCACTGAGGATAATAGAATGCGATTCTATGCACTCCATGCTATCTGAGAAACAGAGATTGATTTTGGTGAGCTCTTCGTAAGGTGGTATCTCATTGTCGGAAATTTCGTTGGAGTCGACTGGTCGAAATGATATTGCTATTTCATTGGTTGACATCGGCCTCAGTTGGTGGGGCAACTGTACATTAAATTGAATGTTAGCTGACTCGTTAAAGTTAAGAGTCTCGCTTTTGTCATCATCATCAAAATCGAATATCAAAACGCTATGCATGCTAACTGCCGATTCAATTATCTTCTGCGATATTCCAGATTGTGGAGAACCCTCGAGGGTTGCATCAAATTCGCTTTCTTTGGTATAGAACGAGGAACCCACCCACAGAGAATGAGGGCTCTCGTTGCATATAGTAAACGAGCGCTGAACTTGCTCACCAAATTTGCTCTGGCCAAAGTTTAAAAAACATCGATTAACATATACGCTCATCGATTTCGGTACATAATTGAACACTATATTCCTGGGTGGACCTGAAAAAGGAGCAACGCTCGTCAAATTAAATTAGAGCCAGCCCAGGCCGTTTTCTGATACATACTGCTTCCAAATTTGACGTTAAAGAAGCCATTGTATTCCCGCAATTTCTTCGGATCAAATTTTACCAAAACCTTGAAATAGTCTTGTGGAACTATCATGTGTTTGTTCAAATAGTGTAGGCTGAGTCCACTGAAGCTACTGCAAATTGAAAAAAAAAAACAATGTACAAATAGCTTAAAGTGCAGAGCTAAAACTTACTTTCTGAACTTGACATTTATGGGATTCTTTGTTGGATTGTATATAATCATTTCGTAATATGATTTGTCCCTGGGCACCGTGGGCGGCAGTGTTATTTGCTGCGAAATGAACGGTTCGATCAAGTCCTGCAAGACTGCGAGTGAGCTGGAGTGAGTATCCCTATCTATAGCCATGATGGGTATACTTTACCGATGATGGGCACTTCAAACGTGATATTGGGATGAAACGATTTTATGAATATGAAACGAGGTCGATTAATATGCTTCGAAGTTGTGCTACGTATATTGACTTTCACATTGAGTATTTTGTCCGTTTCAATGAAGGTATTTATTTCCTGATCATGTATGTAAATTGATGTATCGCTGGGACTATCCGTAGTGATCAAGATCTTGCGCGGATACTAGAATGAGGCACTAGCAGATAGTGTGAAACATGAAACCTTTGTCTGTATTATACCAACCAGTCCAGTGTTCCGAATCGTTAGCGTTAAGCCGTATAAGGAATTCCTTCGAAACGGTTTCCTTTGTATCATCAAACGCGGCGTAATATGCAGACTTTCCACCAGGTTTACGTACTCCATATAATCTACGATGTCAAATAATGTAGCACAATTTGGAAAATGGCTTTAATGGATTATCGCTTACACTCTTTGCTAATGCAACAGCCATAGTAAATCGAGTGATTCATATGAACCGATGGCGGAGGCACTGGCTGATCTGTTTCCGTTAAATATGTATCCTCATAGACGTCCTCTTCAACCCCCATCGAGTTTACAGATACCGAATCTGGCCTGGACACGCGCGTCGAGTGCGAGTCCATTTTTATATTATTAGTTCATTCAGATTCTAAACCTAATATTTGTATATACTATTTGTCATCTCAAATATGTTTACTATATTATCGAATTGTTCTCCATGCCAATCAATTATACGAGAAATGAAGAGGGTTTCTCATAAAGTCTTACATCGACTGTCTTTTCTATATATCTATTATATTCTTAAATTCTGAACACGGAATTGTGTGTCATCCATTTATCCAAAGACAAGTGCATGCACACCCATTTTTATATTTTTTTGGCAAATGCAAAGACAATCTCATATTACGTATACGCCCCGCTGTTGTTTGGGAAAACAATTTCAATTTGGCAAAACTCAACGCAGCGTGTGACCGACAAAATGTCGAACGTATTGGGCAGGCTAAAGACAGACGGACAGACAGACCAGAACGTGTCTGCCAAGGAGGCTGCAGCACAACAAACATGCAATCGCAGTCGCTGCCGCAGTCAACCGCAGCTGAGCAGAGCAGCTGCCAGTGCCGAAACAAAGTCGTTGCGAACCGTATTTATTTGCTGTTGCCGTTCCGTTGATCGGTTCATTCCTGCATTTGGCAAAAAGGCAAAATGTCCTTTTGTGCAAAATTAATGATATGGGCCAGCCCACAGCTATCGGGGCGGGGTTCGAGGTGTTGGGGGGCCTGGAAAGATGTGCGGTTACGTTGGTTCGACTGGCCTCGTCTATTGCCATTTTTATTGTCAAACGGACGCAAGTAAAAAATTGGCCCCAAAACCAATGCAACCGCAAAGCGAACAAAGAAAATTGAAAACAAGGCGAGGCAAGGCAAGGCCAGGCAAAAGGATATGCGCTGATGCCAAACTATTTTGCATGTGTTGCCACGCCTGTGCCCAGCCGCACGGCAACATTACTTCACCTCTTGTTTGTGCAGCCATGCTGTGGGCGGGCTTCAGCTCGTCGTCCTTCGCACTCGTCCAGTGTTTATTATCGCCGGCAAAGCGCTTATAAATCACGCCACTTCACAAGCACCCGAAGCAACAGCAGCAGCAGCAGCGGCAGCACCAGCTTCGCCTACAGTCGGACAAAAAGCGCCCAAGGACTCTGAAGCACAGATAATGGAAGGCCACTGTCCACACATGTCAGTTGCGGTGTCGGTCGCTCGTTGGGGCATAACAAGATAGCCGAAAATTGCAGCCTTTCAATGCATGCGGCAAGCAGGCAAATGTCGCTAGCAAGAAATATCTACTTCTACTCCCACGGCTATTATGACAAAGAGCTGCGGCTTCTGTTCATGCGCCTTAAAGGCTCGTATAAGGAAATAACTGAAAACTGCCTAAACTTCTGGCCTAAATAGTCTATAGAGAACTCAGCTTTAACTTAAGCTACCTTGGGGTAATTTGATAATTTGATATATTCTAGAGGCAATTTTTGTTCGAACGCCTTTGCTACTTACACAAAATTCCAATCGATTTATTTATAAAGAAATCTTGCTGCTATTGAGAGTTTAAGAAGTTGCCCTACCTCGACTTTCACATTACTTCAAGAGTCCGCTCCGTTCCTCTTTTATGTCTCAATTAACTTTCAGTCTTATCAAAAGATTTTCTTTGTCTTAGAAAAATAGTCAAGTCTCTTTGCCAGCTGAGATCAGAAAGGAAATTCTCTTTTATGATTTGATTAAGTGCTGCTTGGATCAGCTAACAAAAGTAAATTCCTATAAAAAGTTTAATAGAGTCTACAGTTCTTGCCAGTTCATAACTCTTCTTCATGCGGGTTATTAAAATTTGATAGACAATCCTATTGCAGCTTGAGACTGCCTACTTCCGTTCACTTTTCAACTCTATTATTTTATTAAGTGGTAATTTATGCCTATGCCATTGTCGTCAACAGCAGTCGCTGTCAATTGAATGTGCTTAATATGAGAATTCTTGAGGCGCTGACATTTCTGTGGCATTATTATAGACCGGTTGCGAGTAGCACTGGGAATGAAGCGTCCAAGTTTTTATGTTCGTCCTTTTCCGGTTTGGTTTTTACGATTTAGCAACTGTTTGGGCGAGTTCTAAAAAGTCAACTTCTGCCTGCCCTGGCCAACTAAAGATGATATCAGGCAATGTACTAGTCAAGTGCCGGACTAGCCAAGGTAAGTTCTCTTCATTTTGGTTGCACTAGCAAAAAATAAAATACGAAAAAAATAAAGTAAACCCAAAATGTGAACGAGGTTTTTATTTGTCCGGCTTATGTGGTCCTTACGACTGTAAAGTGGCAATTCTTTAACAATTTATGTTTGCCAGGCCAAAGTCGAGTCTCTGTGTGTGTGCCAGGAATTGGGCCTGCAACAGCTGACGGCAGCTGCTGCCCCCTGGTTAGACCCTCGACAACGGCGCTGTTGAAGGGTTCGCTTCTGGTTTTTTTTTATATATTTTGTTGGGTCCGTCGGCTGTGAAATTTTCGTGAATTTATGAGCACTTGAGAGCAGGCGCCAACGCCAGGGGCTGCGTTGTCCTCGTCCGCATCCTCGTTCTGGCGACTTTGTTGGCCTAATATAAATTTCAACTTGAACAACAACAGCGCTTGGTCCAGGTCCTGGCAACATTTTAATGCGCGTCGTGGCTACTCTTTTCATTTTTGTAATGCCCTGTACCGATTTGGTGAATGGGGTGTATTGGCTAGGTAATATAATAGAAGCATTTATGAAACTATAAGTTCATGATTTGCTGGGGGTAGCCTCAGAATTAATTGATTGCTCTTTTAGATGTCTCTCTCGCTCTCTCTCTCTCTCTCTCTGTCTGTCTCTCTTTGTCTGTCTCTCTCTTTCTGTCTCTCATTTTCTCTCTCCAATTATTATAATGCCACCTCGTTGCTTTCACAGGGTATCTCTGCGTTGGTCACTCTCACTCACACCTTGTTTTGATTTTCTTTTATACTTTTTTTTTTTTTTGGGTATTTCTAAGTGGCAGCAGCCGCGCAATAAAACGCTCTTGCGAATGCTTTGAAAGGATTGCGGCCAAAATGTGTGAGGGCTCGTAAATTGTAGACGCAGAGGCTGAGGCCGAGGCCGTGGGACGAACCGTTTGGCGTCGCATAAAAATTAGTTTACGTGGCACATAATTTTACATTAATTTCATTTCAAATGACCCAGCCGTACTCTTAGCTAGAACAGTACATGATGTGTGTGTGTGTGTGCCGCACACATACTCGAAGAGCTAAGAGCCGGCACTGCTTGCCAAAAACCACTTTGCCACATTTTAAAGTATCTGTCACATAAAATGCACACAGACTGTTGCCGGTGGCCACCAAGGAAGAAAAGCGAGCTAGTGGGAGGAGGCGGCTGGAGGCTAAGCAAGTTGCAACAAAATATTTTGTTTTTCTACAGCTGCTGCTGCTGCTGTTGCACACTCAAAAAACAGCCAAGCAAACAAAAACGAAAGAAAAACAAATGCTTATAAAATGATAAGTTCCGCTGCAACAAGAACTCGACGTCAATGTAGACGCTGATGGCGATGTCGACGACGACGTCGACGCCGACGTCAACCCAACTGACGACGCAAACGTGGCAGTGAAGTCAAGTGAAATGGACGAGCAACTGCTGCAACCAAGACAACAGCAACTGATGAAGAAGAAGAAGGAGTAGCAGCAGCAGCAGCAGCTATAAGACTATCAAAAACCTAAACAAACATGTGAAAATAGTTGACTAAGCCTTGATGAAAACTGTATACCCTGACTTGTCAGATAGTCTAAATAGCTATATATGTTTAAGTATTATAAATAAATATTTATTTATTTTTATATATATTTTTTTTATATAAGATTTACTAAGTGCTGATTTATAGAATTATATAAGCTGCTGGTTATACCTGGAGCTGTGAAGACTTTCAGCCTAAATCTTTAAAAATTTTAGTCTAGATCATTAAACTGGTGGTACGCTGGTTATATCAGTTCAGCTTTCTTATTTCAATGACTCATATATTTGTAACAGGTTTTATAGGCACATATCATTAAAGTCACACAACAAAATTCTGTCTTATAGCAATTCTTGAGTTTTGATTAGACCTAGCTGGGAAAAGCCATTCTAAGGTATACCAAAGTGAGAGCCTTTGCAGCATATTTTATGCACAGTCTCAAAAAAATGCAGCGTATCTAAAGAGAAAACAAAAAACATTATCGTTGTCAACGTCAGCGTCGATGTGCTGAGGAAATATTTTGTGTGAAATTATTGCGGCTGTTTGTGAAGGGAAGAGCAGCGCTAGAGGCAGCGGTGCAGTATAGGACCCGAGTGCAAGAAGAAGAGCACAAGTTGTATTATAAAGGATATGTTATAGCTGACATGCCGGGTTGGCAGCCATGCAGGCAGGGCAGGCATGGCTGTTGCCACAGGCAACCATGAATGCCCGCCCACAGCGCGTATACGTAATATTTGTAATGTAATGCATATGCCACGCCCCCACTTACTGCTTTGCCTGCAGGCCGTACGCAATTAGCGTGACAAATTACTTAGCCCATTGGGCCCAACCGCAGGCCCCAAAAACCAAAATGGCCCCAAGCGCTGCAGTCGCTGCCACTGGCAGTGGCAGTGGCAGTCGATGTCAGTTAATATAAATGAAAACTCATTAAAAATTTACAACTGATTGACTGCACAATTTGCACAGAAATAACGCACAATTTTGACATTGTTCAGCAAATGGGCACGCGGCTGTTGTCAAATGATGCAGCACAGCGGTCAAAGCGAATAAAATGGCAATAGTAGCCTAGATCCCAAGCCCCCACCAGAACCAAAGCCAGAGCCAGAGCCAGAGCCAAAGCCATAGAGCGACCTCCGACCATCGGTCAGTGCAATTTATGCTAATGCTCGTTAGTGAAATCAAACAGCAACAGCAGCAACAGCAGCAGCAGCGGCAGCACTACAACAATTATGTAAACAACAGGGCCGTAAAGCAAACTACGTGTACAAAGCGTCTGCCAGAGCGACTGACTGACAAACTGCTGCAGCGGACACACGGACGCACATAGCGAACATGTTGGCAAGAACACATTTCTGCAGCTGTTGGACAGTGGGCACGAGAGCCAATGACTATTTAGATGTCAGCAAAGCGAGACGGTTTCC